CGCGAGGTTCTTCGTGTTTGAGTGCTTTTCGATTCCTACATTCACTCACCAAGCCCAAGCGGTAACATCACTCTACCCCTTTCTTACACCATTGAGGGCAATGACGAGTTTAAGTGTGGTGGGGGGGGGGGGTAGTCTTCTAGTGTGCTTGTGTGAGTGAGGAGTTGCTTGGAGCCTTTTGTATGCCCAAATTTAAAAAATTTGAGAGCTCCAAGCAACGTTTGCATGTTCAAAATGACCGGATGGTGGGAAATTCTCGTGTTTGTGGCATTAATATTTAACTGTGCATGTGATTGAGCAAATCCTATGATGATGACTGAGAAGTTCATTAGGATAGGGCAAGAGTTTAGTTCTCAAAGTGTGCATAAATGAATGGAGGCCTTGACTTGAGCACTTGTTGTTTACAATTTCCTTGCATCCTGTTTGTGATTGGGAATAGATGGTTGGGTAACTAGGTAGCCTGTGAGCTTTGAGCCGTTCGTTTCTTTCGGTGTGATAGTTCTCTCTTACCACGGTGTGTAGCATCACAAGTCATCACTAGCAAGTATGATGAAGGAATAGGATTAGTCCACGCCCCAAAAGTTGATTGTCCCGAGATGCATCATCCCTTAGTCAACCCCTTTGAGCCGTGTGATTCCGTGGGTCGTTCTCAGTTTAGGAGCTTTGTTCGTGTGAGCTTAAAGGTGTTAGTAGAACGACCCCCAAATCCTTTTTCGTGTCCAAACATGAGTCGCCCGTGTGTCCCGGAACTCTTCCCGTTGAGTTTCCATAGAGGTTCTACATAGGAGGTTCATGTGTGGTTTTTGCTAGGAGTGCAAAATGGAGTGTAGTGTTGGAGTTAGTTCCTCAAAAAGAGAGCATTGGTCGATAAATGTTTAGGTGGCAAGTGTTTTTACTCTCTAATACCCCCTCAAAAAGAAAAAAAGAGAAAGAAAAGAGAAACGATAAGAGAAACGAAAAAGAGGTAATAAAATGGGGTAAATAAAGTAGAGAGTGCCACGAAAAACCAAAGTATATGCTCTAGGAAGGGGTTTCTTGGCACCCAAGCCAACGAAACCCCCACCTTGTTTAGAACTCCTTCACTACCAAACCTTAAAGAACTAGCAAGAGTTGACCGAGGAAGAGTGCTTCAAGGTAGTTCATGATTGCTGATAGTTGGAAGGGAGAGATAAGGGTTTTGGCTGATGCTAGTGGCCTTTGAAGAAGAGAAGGGTTTTCGTCGAAACCATAGACCCTTCGGAATTAGGTTGAAGATGTAGAACCTCACGTCATGATTGCCACCACCCAAAAAGCCTTTCCCCATGTCCAAGCCAATTGCCAGTCATCTGAACCTGTGTCTAAGACCTCTGGATGAGCTAGTTGTGACAACCATCCCGTGAACTCTAGCGATTAGAGGTTACCGCCGTGGTATTGAGACGATAGGGGCGAGAGGTTACGATTGTGCACATCTTTGGCACCAAAAAGGTCCCGAACCCATTGGTCTTGAGAGTGAGCGATCCATTCTTGCTTTGCATGTCATATCAAACCCCGGTGAGGACCTTTGTTGCCTTCCCATTTGTTCCTCGGAGTTGAATTCCATGCATGGTTGGTTGTGGTTGATAAGAGGTTTTGTTGAGACTTGCATTTATCCATGAATAAGTTGAGAACTTTTAGCTTGCCTGTTTTGGTG